AGGAAAGAACAACAAAAAAATTACTGTGGGTGGTGCAATGTGCAGTTTCTGCTCATTGTGCTACAGAGACTCAGTTGCTGGACTTGACTGACTCCCTTCAGCTACAAGAGAAAGATGCCTGTTAATCCCCAGTGGCCTGGCCCAAGAGGTGAGCTGAGCTCCTTGAGTGCATAGCAGAGCTATGGTCAGTGTTCAGCAGTACAGAGAGGCAGACACCTGCCCTTGGTTACAGTGCTATGTTAAAGCAAATGGGGATCATTAAGGAAGAGGTGGAATGTCTCATATGCAGGGTCGGTGCCAGGCTTTTTTGTGCCCTAGCCAAGGATAACGACTTGCGCTCCCCCCACACACTGCTGACCAATTTTCAAAAAAACAGAAAAATGAAAAGTAGAAAACTTGAAATTGCTAATCTTTTTTAAAAAATGTGAGAATAAGTGATACAACAATCTTTGATTTTCTTTCTCAAACAGAAAACAGTTTTAGGACACAAATCACACATCATTTTGAATACTCTTGTGAACTGTGATATTAAAATTTAAGTCTCTTGAAAGTTTCCATTTCATACACTGCGAAATCTCATTTGTCACCAATTTCTTCAGGTCAAGCGCTGATGTTTCCGCGTGTTCAATTGATATAGTTACCAAACCAAGTAGTCTCTTTTGCAGCATTGTTGAGTGTAGAATACGTCTGCTACTCCCAGGGGCTGTCATTCCACTCTGGGGCCTGTCATTCCAGTCCCAGAACATATCTGCTACCCCCGGGGACTGTCATTCCACTCTGGGAGCTGTCATTCCAGAGAAATCTACTTGAGCCCAGAGACCTTAATAGAAAATCCATTCTGCATTTTCTTTGCAACTCTTCTTGTGCTGTAATGTATTTCAATGGAGCCTATGCAAGTCAATTGGCATTCTTTCATTCCTGGCTCCCATTATTTCCAATGGACAATCCTGTCATTTCTGTTAGTACATCCCGATTTCACTCCCCCCTCGCCTGCTAACTGTTAATTCTGTTCTAGCCAATTGCACAGAAAATTCACTCTTGGAAGATTTATGACAGGAGGATTCACACTGTTTACCTCAACTTCCTCCTTTTTTACTAGAAAATGTACACCTGATAGACGTGTGACAGATTTCACACCCTGATGTTGACTATCAGTTCTGCACTCCTCTGAGATCTGCACTCTAGGCAGCCGCCTAGTTGGCCTAATGGTAGAACCAGCCCTGCTCATATGGACAAGGAATGCTCAGACTACAAGAAGAGGGTGATGCAAAAAGTTCAAGACAGGGATATTTGGCTGGGGTCAGTGAGAAAGAGAGGGAAAGGATGGATGCACAGGCACAAAAATGGCAGTATAGGAGTGAACCAGGCCCGTAGCTACAGTGGGGCATTTCGGGGCCAGGCCCCCATGACTTCCTGCCAAGGCCCCACAACTTCCATCCAGCCCCCAGGCCCCCGGGCTCTCTGGGCTGCCCAGAGGACTCTGGGCCGCCCGAAGGACTCCCCACCACCACCCCTTCCCCAAGCGTGGCTTGCTTTCCCATGTAGGCAGGCAGAGTGAGAATGCTGCAAAAGTGATTTTTAAAATTTTATTTTAATAGTATTTTTTATTTTGTAACATCAACGCCCCCCCCATCTTATTTAAAGACCCCCCAAATGACAAAATCCTGGCTACGGGCCTGGAGTGAACTCAAGATGGTAACACTGCCCGGTCATTCTGTTATCAGTCCTGCCAAGGAACATTTACGACAAGGGCACACCATTCGAGAGAGATTCAAAAGGGCCTGTAGAGCCTTGCTCAGTGTTGGTAGTTCCGAGACAGGAACTTTAAAAACCCACCAGCAGGATGTTCTGTAATGGGACTAAGAAAGGCCCCTCCTCCTATTCCCAATGTTAGCCCTGCGGAAAAGATGAGGAGGGGCAGAAGCTGAGCACTTGACACTCTCAGGAGAGGGATTCCCACTTGCTTCCTCCACAACCAGCCCTGTCAGTCCTCCCACCAACTCACTAGCATGCAATTCCCTTTCATTAGAAGTCATGTATCACGGCATATTTACTTCCACTTGCCTTTCATTAACTCCTCTGGGCATCCTTGTGACAAATCCCATGGCATGCCAACCCTAAAATATACTTACCCATGTATTCTAGTGTGCCAACACGGTGCCCTAGCTGGCGCAGCACTAGTGGATTGTAATTTTGGGCGCTGCCAAAGTCTATTATTTTTACTGTGTTTAAGGAGGAGACGATAATGTTGTCAGGCTTGAGATCAAGGTGGACGATGCGCCGCTCATGCAGATACTCCAGTCCCCGGAGGATCTGTGTGACATAGCCCACCACGTCATCCTCGGAGTAACGGAACCTGTCGGCATAACCAGTCAGTTAAGAGGATGAAGAGACCCCAGGAGTCCATCCTCCTGTACCAGTGACTTTAATGAGTTGCCATTGTCCCCAAACAAGACCACTAGGGAGCTTCAGCTAGATGGTAAAGGTCTTGGATCGCTCAGTTGCAGTCTTTTCTATGTTGCGCAACAGTTTTATTATGTCAGTGTGTTGAGATAATCTTTTCTTAAAGCTCTTTTGTACATTCAACCCCATTCAGGGCTGGCAGAAAGCTTTTTGCTGCCCTTCGTGATTTAAAATTTAGGTATCTCCCCACCCCCAGCTGCGCAGCATGATAATATAACCCTAAACAATCAAAGTCTTACTCTTGTGGTCCATATGAGTTAACTGGGATTAAATACCGCCTCCTGGGCACCATCACTAATGTAGATTCAAATAATCTATAAACAGGCTCAGAGAAGGGGGGTAAGTCCAAAGGTGCAGGTAGCCTATCTCCACCAAGACACCCTCGGCATTTTGGCATGTGAGTTGCTAGCTTGGTTTTCTTCCATGGCTGGTCTGGCCCTGACTCCATTCTGTATGTGTGTGATATTGGAGGTAGATTGCAAAAAAAAAAAAAGTAGCCCATTTGTAATGTTTACTTTTTTGGATCTCCTAATCATTAGATCCTCCTGAGGATCCTCCTGCGTAATCTGAGGAACAGGCCTCCATGAACGTTCAACCATCTATTTTCTGTTCTGTGTCCACAGGGGGTACGGAGGTCTTTTTTGTGCCTAATTCTTTATCCATACACCCTTTATTGGCCTTTAAAAAATTGCCCCTGGCTTGCCCGGCATTCCATCTCATGGAGACCATTCTAATTTGATTCATGGCCTAAAGATTTTGCAATTCCCCAGACTACTCTAGTTTTGTATCATCAGCAAAAATGTAACATTCTTTTGAGGTTGTTAATCATAATATTGAATAGTGCTAGATCCGGGACAGAGATTCAAAGCATTTGGCTGCCAGGGTAAAAAAACCAAAAAAAAAAAACCAAGAGGCTTTGGAAAGCTCTTGTTGATAGAGAATATTCTGAAATAAGAGCCTGTGTTGTAAAATAAGAGTGTTAACAGCACTGACAGAAAGTTCCTGGGGGTCTTCTGACACTTGGTAGCACTCAGGACAAATTTCCATGATGATTTAATAGGATTTATTTATGCAGTGCCATAAATAATGTTTGTGATGCTTAAATAATACAGGAATAACACGGAGGCAGGTGTCTGCCTCAAGGAGCCTAAAACATACAATTGAAGGGAAGGGGATGGGAAACTTTTTTTATCCTGCCATTCCTCCAAGGAGCACAGAACAGCATACCTGCTTCTCTCCCCCCCACACCATTTTGTCCTCATAACAATACTGTGAGGTAGGCTAAGCTTAGAGAAAGGCAGGGCTATTTTTGGGCAGGAATTCCAGCTGGCTCCCAAGTTGGCCACGCCCAGCAGGAACTCATTAGCATAATAGGCCACACCCAACAGCAGAGACTCATTAGGATTGGCTACATCAGGGGTGTGTGGCCTAACATGCAAAGGAGTTCCTGCTACAAAAAAAAGCCCTGGGTTTTGACAACAAATAAGGTCAACAGAATAAGAAGCAAAAGGTCGGTGTGGCTGGATGGCCACACTTCTGATAACACGGGGGTGCGGCCTAATATGCTAATGAGCTGTGGTGTCAGGGTGTGGCCTAATATGCTAATGAGTTTCAGATGTTGGGTGTGGCCTATTATGCTAATGAGTTCCTGCTGGGCTTTTTCTACCAAAAAAGCCCTGGAGAAAGGTACTGGCCTTAGGTCAAACCGGAAGCTTGATGACTACGGGAGGGGAGGGCTTCAACCCGAGTGTCCCAGATCTCGGTCCAGCTTTCTGACTACTACGCCACAGAGAGAAGGCATGGTTGGGAAACACGGGCATGAACATTTGCACATCCAGGAGCGATCCATTCTTAGGAATCCATTCACATCATTCCCATGAGGGAATTCTTTCCCAAGGGACTTTACAGATCCCTGTGAGTGGGAACCGTAATGTGAAAAATGCTTCTCCTTCAACAGCCACTCTTCGATCAGCCTGGGCCCTTAGAGCATGTGGTACAGCTCCTTTGCCGGAGCTATGCTAAATGTGTCCCTACACTGTCTCTAGAGGACAGGTTAATGTTGCTGCCTTCACTTTGTGTCAAATTATAGTCTGGATGATGACTGAATATTATTAAACATCTGGGTAACATGGAGATGACTAGACTAACTGGCCTTCATCTCCCACTCTGCTGTTTGCCCTGAGCAGCCCAAATTATCAACTCCCATCACAGATTCCCAGGTCTACTAAAACTGGTTTGGATACACAGAGATCCCAACGTTCATGGCTAACGTGATACTGAAGATATTCTGTGACAGCTCTTTTGTCCTGGTCTGTCATGGTATGTGACTTTACCTCCCAAACCCCCCCGTTGCTCCCTGCCCACTCCTCCCAGACACAGCTCAGTCTCCCATGCCACGAGCCCCCAACGCACCTGTCAACAAAGTGGTAGAGGATCTCCTTCCCTGTGCAGTGCTCTGTTATGAGTACCAGATATCGGGGTGTGATGTAAGCCTCGTGCAATGCCATGATGCGCTCGTGGTGCAGGCCCTTAAGAAGTTCATATTCCTGCAGAACACGCTGTTTATCCTCCGCCTCATAGGGAACAATCTTGGCCATGAAGCGCTTCCCTGTGGCATTCTCTTTGCATTCTCGGATCACTCCAAACCGACCCCTGAACATACATGAGGAACATGTTCAGTGCCAACCTTGGATGCTCGTTTGGCCTGTCCAATTAAAGCTAAGACACAATCCCCCAGCAAAGCACAAGTAAGGCAGGAGGCGGGGGTACTACATTCAAAGCAGAGCAGATGGCGTCCTTACTTCCCAAGTGGCTTGGCTTCTCCGTGTCAATATTGCGCGGTGTTAGCCCACTGCAGACCGGGCACGGGTGCAAGGGTATCCAATAAAGACTGGAGTCTTCAAGGCTTGTGTAAAAGTTATTTACAGTTTATTTTACAAAGCCTCCACCAAATCTTTACACTGAGTGACGTAATGCTCCGCTGACAACCAATTTTCCAAGAAAAATACATACATAGTACTTCACTGTACTTATACATCCATTGGCCTATCAGGGCCAATGCTGAGTCATTGCTAATTAGCTCTGGCAAGCACCAGCCAGAACCGGTCAGAGCCAGCTCTACTGTCACCTAGAGCTGTCTGCTCCTGTCACATAGATGCCACAGATCTACAGCTAGACTTAACAATAACACAGAATGTTGACACTCCGTACCTGGGCCTGTTGGTCAAGAGCTCCAATTAGCATCACAACCATTTGACCTGTAGCCTAGAAGTTCCAACTGGTGGTGTGTGACGGGAGTCTGTTTCCAGCACCATGGTAACAACTTGTGCGGGGAACATGAAACCACTCACACATCGTCCTCACCATACCTTTTTGTGGCAACCAAAGTAGAGCCTGTACACTTCCCGTAATGAAGACAGATGCAATGCTCACGCTTCTCTCTGTGGAAGGGAGATGTACTAGTTCTGCTTGGTATATTCCAAAGAGGCACAGAGAACAGGAAGTGCAAATAACTAGTGCTTCCTATTCCTGTCCTGTGCCACAACATCCAAAGGTGCTTTTCTGGCTTCTTGATTTTGAGAACAGCTGACACTCTGAAAGTGAGCAGGGAGATCAAGGACCAAGTGAGGTCCGGAAATCATGAGCTATGGATGCAATGTGCTGAGTCACAGAAATGATACAGAAATATGATCCCGTCTTCAGAACACACGTGATGATTCATAAGGGAGTGAGTTGCCAGGGGGAGAGGCAGGGCCTACAATAGGCGGAGGTTTTCCCATTCCCATTCCCATTCCCATGAATTGTGCAGGGGGGGGGCAAACCAACAGAAAGAGGCAAGCAACACTTAAAAGGTTCTTGAGGGATTCCCTCTGCAAAGCAGGTCCATGGGATCGAGTGGTCAAAGGGACCTTTGGAAGGCCCGCTGTACATCCTAAACGCTCTCAGGTGCAGCCATGACTTGCTCCACCCAGTGCTTCCTTTGGCTGACTGAGAGAGAATGAGCTGCCCTCTAGGAAAGAGCGAAAGATTTATACGTTCTGAAGAGAAACCAGAGTATAATGAGCTGTTCTCATTGCAACGGTTTCCACATGGAGCTGGGATTTTGTAGTTTCTCTGCTGCTGGTACGGCTGCAGATGAAACGCAGCAGCAATGGGGCTGGCACATGACAGGTTTCCCCACAGTTTCCCTGCCACAATGCCCCCAAAGTGGCCACTCCTCCACCCTGGGCTACCAGGGCTTTGGCAATTAAAAAAAATCAGCACTAGAATACCCTTAAACTGATATAACCATTGTAATGACAGGGGCAGCAGGTTCTTTGCATTCCCAGCTTTCATTTTTAAAAAAAAGTAAGTCTAGTTTCTCCCCTTGTGAAAATATGCCTTTTCCCGGTCACGGTCACATGTACTGGAAAATGCGGGGGGGGGGGGAGCGCGGCTATTTGTGCCGCGATAATTTGACCTGCCACTGCGCAATCCGACACAATGGCGGGTGAAGCGGGTGTTTTTCCTTGCAGCCTGCTTCCTGTGACGCGATTGGAGTGCGCCGGTGCGATCACACAGGCAACTCTGTCTTCCACCCATCGCAACCTCTTTGATAGTGGATTTTCTGGGGTGTTTTTTTACTCCACTTCTTCGGCTGACTGCTATGGGCTGCTGGCGGGTGCCAAACGCTTGCCAGGTGTGTCGGTGTGATCGCGCCCGTAAAATCCGACCGGCATTCGTGAGTATCATGGGGCAAATTCTGCGTGTGATTGGGGCCTCCTTCTGCCTCTGCAAGCAAAGATGCTAGAGACATTTAAAAAAAATGAAATCTGGGAATTCAGAGAACCTGTTTGTACCTACTGTTACAATGGTGTGTTGATATAATGATATTCTAGTGCTGATTTTTTTAAAAATACCCCTTGGTGGCAGAGAGAGAAAATGACTGCTGCAGAGACAGGCTTAGGGGGAATGGCTGCCACCTGAGCGGGGAAAATCCAGATTTTAACACACACACACACACACACACACACACACAGAGCAGCCATCCAGGCTTTACTGTGATCCTTCTCAAAACGTTAGAGCAAAGTAGGTTTGAGAAAGATGGGAGAAAAGCCATGGAAGTCCCCAGGCCTGCATGAACACGCCATGATGTTGTGGGGAAGGAAGGGAAAAAAAATCACTTCCCAAAAGCATTGAACTCAGGGCAGATAACCCAGGAGGAAATGGCCTACATCTTATCCAAGGCATTTCCCTCCCCCTCAAACTCAGGCATAGTGCATGGACAAAAACAGTGCACGCCAGGAGCATAAAGGAAGTGTTGCTTTATTACACTTGCCCTAAGAAGATCTTTGTGTTAGGGGAGAGGTAAGACGTTGTTCGGATCCCTGGTATTTTGGGGCAAAGGTCAGCAAACTACCCTGTCCAACTGTCTGCATCTGTGTGGTCCCTTCGGGGTACAAGCAGATTTAGAGTTGCCAGCCCCCAGGTCCGTGCGGGAGCTCCCCTGCTTCCGGGGACTTCAATCTGCCACTGGCCAGCTGGCCAGTGGGGGAAGCCCTGCCCCTAAGAGTGACCACCTGCCTGGCCACGTCTTTCCCTCACCTCTTGCTTGCTTTAAAGGGTATAATGTATCCAGTCCAGACAAGTCCAGGCAAGTCCAGAGACAAATGCAGAGCTTCCCTCCAAGAGACAATGGACTATGCGGATCCTAGCCCGCTCCAATCAGGGGGCTGGGTTCCCGGCCGAGAGCCTATGGGGCTCTTGGCCACTGTAAATAACCTATAGGGAAGTAGGGGTGTGTTTTGGGTGGCAGTTTCTCGGGGGATATAAGCCGGCCTGCGAGCCAGCCAAAGTTGTCTTGTTCCTGATTGAATAAAGTACGCTTTGCTGAAATCACTCTCCGTCTGCGTACTTTTCAAAGAGCTTCAGCTGATCTAGCAGGAGGGAGGGAGAGGGGCAGTCATGGGCCGCATGACCACCCCTCTCCCTCCCTCCTGCTAGATTTAAAGGGGCCCCCAGCTGGTCAGTGGGCTACGTGGTCCCTTCCGATCAGCTGAAACCCTTTAAATTGGGCAGGAGGGAAAGGAGAGGGGTGGCTGGGTGGGTGGTCGCTCTTGGGATGGAACTTGGGGATGTCCCTGCCCACCCCCCGAGCACCCCCCAAATCCCCCTACTGGAGCAATGAGGGGACCTGGCATCCCTAAACGGATTACTGGGTGCAGTCAAACGAGCACTTTGATCCATGGCCACTGCTTCTCACCCATGGATCAGACAGCTGTATCCCGCCCCGCAGTCGTCATTCCCCCATGCTCACCTCTGACTTTAGCAACACTGGATAAAGTCCGGTATTTACTGAACCTGCCAGGTTCACCACGCACATCCAGATGTCTGATCACTCTATTGTGCACTCAAGCGGTTTGGGAAGTCTGAAGCTTCTGCTCTGTGGCTTAGATAGCGACGTGCGCATAAGTGCATATTCGCGCCTGGGTGGTGAATCACTGCCCGACAGCAAATAAGCACTTCTGTGCATGCATAAAAAGGATTTTTTTAAAAAAAGATGCTGCCTGAGCACCGGCCCCATGGCTACCACAGCAATAGTCTGAATGGTCAACCACGGGGTGAGTGCACAGTGAGATGGGATAAGGGTGGCATGTTTGGACTAAACTCTGTTCCAGAGGTTCTGCCATCTAAAGTGGTACACCCCAGTTCACCTCATTCTGTATAACATGTGGAATAGCTCCCAGTTCCATCTCTGATGGCTTGATTGCATGAAGTGGCTTCTGCAAATCATCTGTCATACAGTAAATATGGTTCTGTGAACTGTCTAGTAGAGATCAGAGACAGAGGAACAAATAGATCCTGGTTGCCTATAATGTAAAGTAGCAGGTTAGGCTACCTTGGGCAGAAAAGGTAGGGCTCATCTCTGAAGAGGGATCCAAAACTCTGAAGGAAGTGGGGGGTGGGGTGGGAATGCTGCTACTACAACATGGACACCTCTATGAAACTTAGGGTCAAAGACAATCCCTCACAGCACCACTCCTTACTGAAATCCTCACAGAGAACTGCCATGTTCCTTACCTTGCTTTCTCATCCAGGAAGGTGTAGGGTTTTTGAGGGATCCCCTGACGTAAGGACGAGTCATCCTTTGCCGCTGAAGTGAGCCTGCCACGGGCACAGCTCCCGGTGTCCCTGCTGGGGGTGGTGTTCCGACTCACAAAGCGTGATGGGGAAGGCACTTCCTCCGTCGTGGGAGTGGTCAAGGGACTGGAGGCACCTTCCGTGTCAGCGGGTGCTGCTGGTGGGTTAGAGACAAAAGAAGTGGCCACATAAGGAAGAGCTTTGGGGGAGAGGGTCACTGCGGAGTCTGCCATGGGTGTTGGTGATGCGGGAGAGATAGGGGAGAATTTGGAGAGAGAAGAGCCAGGGGTGACTGCTGGGCCAGGTGGAATCTTGGTGGTCATCGAGGCACCGCGGGTGCTGAGGGAAGATGCAGTCCTGGTGGGCTTCAGTGCTGGCTCTGGAGAAGACACTGTGATGGCTGGACATTCAGAAGAAGACACCTCTCTGGAGGGCTGTGGCGTGGTTGTGGTCTTTTCTTTCTCTGCAGCCAGAGATTCCTCCTCCTTGGCCGGAGCCTGTCCTGCTATAGGCACTGACCCCTTCTGCTTCCTTGGAGGGGTGGAAGGCAGGGGCTCTGTGGTTCTGGGTGCTGGCTGGGGAAGCTGGCCAGCAGAGGTCTGAGTGGATCTGGTGGAAGACACTCTCTCTAGGGCAGCGGTACTCTTCTTGGCAGTGATAGCGGAGTGGGCAGCCTTGGGCTCTGCGCGTGAGAAAAGAAAACAGGACAGCCACAATAAGCAAAACCCTGGGTCCAAGTCCCTGCAAAGAGACCATTGAAAACTCATTGTGTGGTGGGGCAGACCCTTCTCAGCCACTGAAGAGCGGAAATGCAAACTCTGACACGGCCAATTTATTTATTTATCTGTTACATTTATACCCCGCCCTCCCAGCCATGGCCGGCTCAGGGCGGCTTACAACAGCACAAATATAGGAATAAATAGTATAATTATCATAAAGTAAAGGTAAAGGTTCCCTCGCTCGAAAGCCAGTCGAATCCGACTCTAGGGATGCGGCGCTCATCTCCGTTTCAAAGCCGAAGAGCCAGCGCTGTCCAAAGACGTTTCCGTGGTCATGTGGCCGGCATGACTAAACACCGAGGTGCACGGAATGCTGTTAACTTCCCACTGAAGCGGTACCTATTTATCTACTTGCAGTTTCTTGCTTTCGAACTGCTGGGTTGGCAGGAGCTGGGGCCAGAGACCATATACTATATCACAACATTCAAAGGTGCTAACAATACTAATCCAAATACCATTAAACAGGTAACAGTTTAGCATTACATTCGGGATGGTGCTCAGACTTCTGTGCCTTCCTAGTGGTCGACCCTGATCGAATATTGTGCGGCTGGCTCAGGCTGTTTTGAAAAATACAGGGGGCAGGGTATTTCCCTCGGGGTGGCTCCTAGTTGAACACCTGGTGGAAGAGCTCCGTCTTGCAGGCCCTGTGGAACTGCATAAGGTCCCGCGCAGGGCCCTGGTCTCCTCCGGGAGCTCGTTCCACCAGAGAGGAGCTGCCGCCGAGAAAGACCTGGCCCTGGTTGTAGCCAGCCTGGTGTCCTTTGGTCTGGGAAGGGTGAGTCAATGTTGAGACCCTGATCGCAGTGCTTTCTGGGGGAACATGCGGGGAAAGGCAGGTATGTAGGTCCCTGACCCTCTTAGGGAAGCTGTGGTGCTACGCCACAGGGTGGGATTGCAACCAGGTTCCTTTCCACACGACAGTCTATTAGCATTGCTGTTGCAGCACTCTTCCACTATCGGGTGAAAGCAGAGTCACATGTGGTCAGGCAAAAGTAGTTGGCACACCAGCTGGGTAAACCAGTTTAGGAAGCCCGCTGGCTTGGCCCTGGTCCTTTCCCTGCCGTGCCCCCTGCTTCCCACAGCTTTTGCAGATGTGAAAGACAACATTCTAGTCCGTTTCAGACAGTACTGCCATCTTCTCTTAGAGCAGATAGGCAATTTTAGTTAACTCTATGTAATGCCTCGCCTGACTTCCTGAAGGGAGGTTGGAGTGCGGAAGCTGGATCGGACGACCCCCAAATGGCAGTGAAGGGGACGAGACCGACCTGTTCCAAGGCAAAGAGTGAAGAAGGGAGCAGCATGGTTCGCCATGCTGTGCAACCTGTAACACCCGTTTTAATCTTGTTTCATTTTCAAGAAGCAACAAATACAAGAGAGCGAGTATGTATCTGTTTGTTCACTAATTGCTGAAGACCCTGATTAAAAGACCCCTTAAAGACTATCTCCATCTCGAGAATGTACGAGCGGCTGTGAAAAGGAGTGGAGCAAGGGCTTGGAAAATGGCGACGGCAGGGGAGATTGATGATATTCCAGCAAAAGAAACTATACTGGTAGAACTTGACCAACTAACTCAGGATCAGTTTAAGGAATTTTTGATCAACCAGGTGAGGAAGGCTGCAGAGGAAGCATGCAGAAATGTTTGCAAGTAATTTCAAAATGTTGATCTGAAATCACAAATCAAGGAAAATAGGGAAGAGCCAACGCCCCACCTGCGAACTGCAGTGAGTTTGGAGACAGAGCGGGAAGACAAGCAAAAGAAGGAAATAACTGAATTAAACTTTACACTGTTGAAAAAGAAGAAAGATGTTTCCACGAAAGAAAAATAAAGAAAAAACTGTATAAAACAATTTGAGAGTACAGGCTACATAAAACGTAAGAAGCTAGCAGAACCACAGTGAGAAGTGAAGAAATTAGCTAGGAAAAAACCGAGGTTTCTACCAAAGCAAAGCAACAAAGATAACAAAATAATGTTGACAGGAATGTTAAACCAGAAGAGGCAGAAATACGAATGGAAATATTCGGAGTTCAGAGGTTTGAGACATTTAATTATGGTCATTGAGAAGAAATCTTTTCAGAAAACAGCGTTGCAACAAGAGATTTATTTTTTGTGTTTGTATGTCTGATCGAAAAACAATAAAAAGCTATATATTAAAAAAAAACAGTGTTGCAATATGTATTATCCTATAGGTGAACTATCGCTATTTTCTTAAAATATGTAATGCTCAATGGCTCAGGCTCTGGATATGGTTTGACAATGATCCTTTGCCTATGTACCTGAACAGCTCAAATATTGGGGGTTAATATCCTTTTGATACTTTAATTGCTTAAATATTTAGACGGTGTGAGTAGTAACTTGACTATTTATTTACTTTTTTTGGTTTACTCAAGTAAAATACATGGGTTATTCCTGGGCTATATTTAAGGGTCAGTGATACTGGAAATGTTAGGACGTATTCATGATTTTGTTTTGCTAGATAAATTTTTAGGGTATAAGGCCACCCCCCAAAAAAAATATATGTGTGAATGCAAACTGTAAAATTATGGTGTAGTAAACAAGGTATTTGTTTTATGAATAATCCCTAAAAGATACATAAAATGTTAAGGAGGAAAGGGATGAAAATGAAAATGGAGTGTTATTCTGAAAATACAATATAGTATGTTTAAAACTTTGATTACTGGAATGGAAGGATACGACGAAGTTGTTTGGCTTCATTATCTAGAAAGTATGAGTTTTTAGGCAAAGGTTTCTATTATTTCCATTTTCACCTTTTTATTTTTTTTCCTTTTTCCTTTTGTCTTTTTGCACCTATATTGAACTGTTATGTATAGGAAATAAAGTTTTGTATAGGCTTAGAAGAATATGGCGCAGGCGAAATCAATTTCTGAGGATGTTTATGCTGGATAAAGGTTGTGTGGGAGATGATTTAGGTAATATCAGTGAATGAAAAGATTTGTATGGAGTGTGATAAACAGGTACAATTCTATAGCCAGATTACAACCGAGAAAATATTATTGTTTGTGAAAAGGAGGGGGGGAATGGACTGAGCGGATAGTGATGTTTTCCTTTGATGTATTTGAAATAAAGTGAGAAAAAGTTTTTGTCTCTGGAGCGCACTTTAAGAACTTTCTAAAAGTAAACAAAAAA